TAATTTTAATTTTCTTTTACAATAAATAAAATAAATTAGACTTAGGGTTTTTTACTAACTTTTGACCTTTTCTTTTTATTTCATTAAAACATAAAAAACACAAAAAAAAACACTTTTTTTCTTTTAATTAATTAGCTAATTAGTAAATTAGGTTTAATATTTCATTAATTGCAAAAAGGGACAAATTCAATTCTTTTCTTAAAAAAGGGTCAAAACCCTAAGGACGTCCCGATTCAATTCTTTCGCGCGCATATTTTTAATTCATTATTTATTTGATCATATTTATGTATCTGTTTCCGAGGATGTAATAGTTAATTAGGATTTTATCGCTTTCTTTTACTTTCTCGTATTTATTTTCCAAAGGGTTATGTTTTTGGCGATGTATATACTCGCGCCTTGTAATAGCGTAGATTCAATTTTCCGCAATTTATTTCCCGCATAATTATTAACTATTAACAATGCATGACAAGACTTGTATGAAAATAAAATCAATCTGTAGCTCACAAATACATGTGCAAAGATAATATGAACTGAATCGGACACACATGCACATGTCACTCTTAGGGTACGCCTCACTCGGTTGCCTCGAGGTGGTCATCAAGTATAAGGTGTCTTAGAGGTCGCCCTTCTGTCTAAAGATCCAGTTGCCTCGAAACGGTTGCCTCGGATAAAAAGGATCTAGGACATTAGGGTTACCGCTAAGGCGTCCTACCATTGCTTTGGTGACCACACATGTCCCTTATAATCAAATTGACCTGAGCAACTCCAACGACGGTGCTACCTACTTCTCAATAGTGGGATAGTACTGTCTAAAGGACTCTTACACAACCTAATTCCTTATAGTAGGTAGATTTCTCCTGGGTACTTGCTCTTTCAAAAAACAAAAACATCTTTTCGCACTCACACTTTCAAAAAAGTTTTCAAACAAAACACTCCATACACTCTTGAGGACTGATACAAGAGTTACCTAGAAGTTTTCAAACTAAACTTTTTTCAAAACCCACAAACACTTGAAAAGTAAACAATTTTTGAAAACATAGTGAGCAAGTACCTAAGAGCCCATGGATAACCATGGATATAAAGGGTGCTAACACCTTCCCTTTCTATAATCTACCTCCCGAACCGAGAAACATCTCGAAAAGAAATTTTGCTGTGCTTTTGTCCTTTCCTTGTTGGAGAACATAAAAGACGGTGGCGACTCTTGCTTACCGCGACATTTCGCGAACCAGCATTTTAAAACAGACAGTTCTATTTCCACCGATCACAAGGGTAAATTACAATCATGTCATTAATGTGAGAGGGGACTGATTTTGTATTCTGGGAAGGATCTCTTTTGGGATAACCCTTGGGTGAGACTTATACCACTTAGACTAGGTTCCTGTTTGAGAGTTCGGGCAAGTCGGAAGCACCAATGAAATTAATGCTCTATGACCACAAGAGAGGGATTCGCCATATCTCAACCCAAAATCTTAAGGTGTTAGGTAAATGAGTGTTCTCTCTTATAAATCCAACGTTTCACCCATTCATATGCAATGTGAGACTTTAATCACTCACATTTGCACCTAACATTCTCCACCACAAGTGTGATTCCCAATATCCTATAACAGGATCCAACACCGGATCCATCTCTCACACACCCCACCAAGTCGAACCACGACTCTGATATCACTATTGGGGAGTCTAAGAGAGTCGAGAGCACCAACAGATTAATGTTACAGGACCACAAGAGAGGAAGAAGCCACATCTCAACCCAAAACCTTAAGATGTTAGATAAATGGGTCTTCTCTCTTATAAATCCAACATTCCACTCATTCATAGGCAATGTAGGACTTTAACCACTCACACTTGCACCCAACAGTTCCCTGTGCTTTTTTGTATTTCCACGATAACAAGATCGGTCTGTGGGTGAAATTAGTTTGTGGAAGGATGGGGTTTTGGTTTGGGATTTGAGGTGGAAGATATCTCTTTTCATTTTAGAATATGAGCTAGATAGAGGTCGCTAGTGGTGGCGGCATGATAAGGATGGTGTTTACTCGACAACATCAATTTATTATGCACTACTTAAGGAAAATCTTGTCCATGTCCTCGTGTTTAATATAGTGGACTTAATTTTTTCTCTGATATCAGTTAGCCAGGTTAGTTTTAAATTTGTTGTGTTCTTTTTACAATTCCTTCAAGATAATATTCCTACTAAAGTGAACTTGCCCAAGCATGGAGTTATAGTTGACTCGGGAAGAGTTTCTTATGTTTTGTGTCATTGATTAGTAGAGTCGATTTCTCAAGTTTTATGACCTATGAAATGGAAGTGGTGTTGTGGTATATGACATTTAGGTGGTTGGGGTAGACATTTTTTATTTTTAGGAATCTTTTATGTCTTTTTGATGGGTTTAACTCGTTGGGAGGGAGATCTAGGATTAGAGGTGGTCACTTCATGATTTTACATTTAGTAGTGTGGTCTATGGAAATTCTGAAGTGATATTGTATTTATATGTACGTCTATTAATGCACATGATAGGAAGAAAATACGGTTTTTGTTGTTTGGAAATGATACTTTTGTAGGATTCCGACTTGCTCATGTTCTTTCTCTAGATGGCTTGAAAATTATATTATTAGTTTTAATCAATAGTGCTTTGAGAGATTTAATCTAGTTCTTGGATCAGAGTGTTCATGACATTCTCCTAGAGAATTCTGTTTATGTTAATGGTGGTTTCTTATAGATGAGATCTAACTTATCTTTCTAGTGATACAATGCCCTTTAGTAGTTGGTTGGTTAGTGAGTCTATCTTTCTTTCGGTGTAGATTCTTTGTTGTTATTGGTATAATCATTTTTATGTTTTTTTTTTGTACTACTTATTTGTATTTTCCCATAATCAATTTGATATCTCTTGTGTTTGGAATTCATGTGGTGTATTATATACTCTTTAGGGTCATGACTGTTTTCTTTTATTATACATATTATATTTCATTTTCAATTTTTTTTACAACTTTTTAGATTTAAAATTTGTTGCGTTTAGTCTTTTAATATTATTATTGTTTTTTTTTTAAAATATTAGTATCGTTGAATATTATTTTTTCAAAATATGTGGATAAAGTTTCCATATTTTTAAATATGTATATACACACATGTCCGACTTAATTATGCTCAACATTTTATAATCACGTTTTTTAATAATTACGGCTACTATTTAAAAATCTTACATTTAAATATATATTTTAAAATTATCAATCAAAAGAAATTTAAAACTATATTTAGGGCTAGATTCTAGTTAAATTAGAAGAAACACTTGTCATCTCAACCAATTACTTTTGAATTGTTCAATGGAAACATATGATAAACAATTTAATTATTGATATGCATATATTTTTGTATGAATTGAAAATGTTCTGAACACTATTTTAAAGATTAATCTGTATTTAATGTGAAATTCTAACTATATTAAGTTAGTAGACAAAAAATAATCTACATTTTTTAGATTATATTCAAACCTAAAATTTCTAAACGAAAAGAAGTTTCTATCATATTTTATCCCAGTGTTCATGAGTAAATGAAGGAGTATAATAGATTAAGAGAAAGATAGAGACAAATTAATAATCACCTAAATTATTTCAAAAGTAGGCAATCTTTAATTCAAGATTCTTGATCCTCACGGTACGCAGCAGCAGTATTTTTCTTACAATAGGACAGATTAAATCTCCTACATTACATAAATTATAGGACATATAGATTTGCCATTACGGTAAACACAGCAAATAATTCAAAACGTCACTTCACAGTAGATTTCTCATAACGTAAATCAACATATATATAAACAAAACATGGAATGTAGACACTAGATTAGACATGAATATTCATGATCCAGAGTTTAGAAAAATGGGTTATTTCATTTTATTTCTTGTATGCTTAATAATTGTAACCCTTATAGTTACAATTGCCTCTTATCTATGCACTCTACCAACTTTATCACCTCTACCTCCAAACTCTATTGCACGTGAAACAAACAACCACACCACAATAACTGTAGTAGTGGAACCAGCTGATCAAAATACTGCAAATGTGTGTAGAAGTTATGATCAAATTAGTACTCTTCCACGTTTATCTGAAGTTAAGATGTGCAACAGCAACAATATTAATTCAGTAGGTAGTTGTTGCTGTTCCATATGTTTGATGGATTATAGAGAAGCTGATTTGTTGAGAATGCTTCCTGGTTGTGGACATTTCTTTCATGTGGCTTGTGTTGATCCTTGGTTGAGAATGAATTTGACTTGTCCTGTTTGTAGGAAGACATACCGGTCCGTATAATTCAGGCCAGTGTATTTCTGTCAAAGATATTTCGTGTGAAATTTGGTACTTAATCTACTAAAACTGTGATCAGCTGATTAGTTCTTTGCTTGTATGACTCGTTGTTTGTTTAGTTGATAAGATGATATATAGGTTAAATTTCACTTGTCACAATGACTTTTTTTTAAGTCTGTTTTGGTAGCATCTTTATATCCAATGTATGGTAAAAAAAAAACAAGTGTTACAGAATAAATCGTAAGGGTTTATCAGCTAATCATGAATAGCATAAAAAATTTGGTTATAACTTGCACAACAAGAAAGCATTGACAGAAATATATCTTTTAAGTTTATGTGATGTTTCGGTTACTAGCTCTGTATCAACTTTTGAGTATGTTACTCAGTTTGGGAGGCATAAAATAATGGTTTCTATATAAAATTCTAACAGTTACATTCAAAAAATTTCTTATTATGAAAGTAGATACAAGAAACACAGGTGAGAAATGTGATTCCTAATAATAATAAAATATCATAAATCGGGCGTAAAAATGTGGAAAACATATGTCTAAACATAAGAACTAATATCAGAAAAATCAAAAATCAAACCCTTCCTACATAACATAACAGAAAAATCAAAAATCAAACCCAAAATTAACCCTACCAAGTCCCTAAATAGAATCAAGCTCTAATATAAAAAAAAGGCCTTGAAATTTTCATACCCTTCCTACATTATCCAAAACCCTAGGAATGTACCAACCATAACACAAACCAATAATGAAACATCAATATCACACTTCACCCCTTGACTTGAAGATGGTGAAGCAGGACCTCCTAAAGGTGTAGGAGATGGTACATCTATAGATGATGAACGACTAATCACGACACCACTTGGTTGAGGAGCATAACCATTTGGGAATGATCGTGAAGATATCTTTGGAGGTGATGCTGATGGTGCTGGTGTATTTTGTAAGGAAGCTCCATGGACATCAATGATAATCTTTTGGCCTAAGGAACAATAATTTGAGACACTACATATGAAGTAGTAAACATCTTTCTCCTTCAATGGAAAATTTATAGGGCTAGTATAGAACACCTTCAGAGGTTCAAGTGCTGTGCAATGCTCATACTCAGATTTTGATACTTGAATTAGGTTGTAGAATTTTGTATCAAAGTTGAATTCTGTGTTAACATCACAAAAAATATATAATGAAAATGTTCCTAGCTAGCATAAAATACACATATATATCAAAGCAAGAACTTAATATTAATTAGGCCTTTACCTAGAGTGTCTCCTTCTCTAATGATATGGGAATCTGACCAACTAGTGTAGTATGTTGGATATGGTGGAATAACCCAACCTGCTGAATCCCCCACTATGAATTGAGTAGCACAACATTGATAAAGAAATGTTAAAAATGATATTAAGAGAACAGAAGGGTATTTTTGAGGCTGCAACATGTTGAGATATGAGCAGAGATAGATTTAAGGAAAGATAGCCATGAAGAGATAGGTTTAAAATGTGGAAATGGAAGAGATATAACTATGTATTTAAGATGAGAAGAGATTATTAACTGTTATTGATGATTCTAACGTTACCGAATACAAAGAGATATAAGACTAAATAGTTAGGAAAAAAAAAACCATGAAAGTAAAAATGCACTATAGACACAGAATCTGATATCAAACCAACTGTAGACTTCAGCCAAGAAACAGTGCAAACATCCAATGAAAAAAATAAGTGCTTATAGCACTTACACCCAAAAAAACTCTATCAATGTGTAATCACAAAACACAATTATAGACACTACAACCTCACAAATTGAACAAACAAGTATGAACAACATTCTCCATCTAGCCACAATAAGCACACACAACCAATCCATTCTCATTACATATCAAACACTCATTAGCCTCTTCCTTATCAAAAATCCTATGGCTACCATTACACTTAAAGCACATCACAAACCTTAAACCACCACAAGCATCACAAGGTCCATTTGACCAATCCAATGGAACCCCTTCAAGAATTTTCTTCAACTTCCCTTGTTCATGCAGACTCATAACTTCTTCAGCCGCACCTATATATCTCCCCTTAACAAAAAGCCTCGGAGGCACAATTTTCTCACCCAAAATACTCCACAACTCATCCTTAAACTCTCTATGCATCGACACATCTCGCTCAAGATACAAAACCTTGAAACTTTGCAATAAAAAGCGAATTTTGTTGCAGTCTTCATAAGTCTTTCTGATTCCTGTAAGTGATGTAGAGTAGAAAACCACAGTTCCATCACCACCCGGTGGACATTTCTCTTCAAACAACATCAAAGGATGAACTTCAACTTCTTCAGCAAATTTCACTTTCTGTAAAGACTCTTCTTCAACTCTAGCCCTCCTCTGTTCCTCTGTCATTCTACAATGCTCCTTCACCGCTTCCTCGAACGCAGCCAGAAGTTTCGGATCAAACAAGCTACCCGAATTCAAATCCGGTCTCCGAAAGGACAAATCCTCACTCTCCGAAAAAGAATTTTTCCTCTTTCTATCAGAATTACCTCTCGGCAAAAGTGGTGGCTTCTTATCTCTCAAAACCTCCCTCTGTTTCGACTCTGTTCCTAAAACACCACCTTTACAACCAATATTCTCTTTATTCTCATCACAACCATCATCATCTAGTCCCATTTCTTCATCTTCTTCAGGCCCTTTCATGAGCTCCTTCAAATTCTCGCAATTCTGCACAATTTTCTTACCCTCGTTTTCTCCAGAAACAAACGGGTTCGATGAAATCTTTGGGAGAAAATCTGCATACCCATCACTGGATTTCACCTGAAGAATTCGATCTGGCTTTAGATATCCAATCTGTTTGATTGATTTCAGCTTCTTCAGCAACTTTCCTTTCACTCCCTTCATCTTCCTGAGATTTTCCTACGGAATTTACTGTGAAATCAAGAAAAATATTCAGTTTTTATAAATTAGGGTTGAAGATTGTGAAAGAACTCAGTGTTGTTTTTTTGTTCTAGAATACGGAGAAAATGATGATGATAGAAAGAGTTCTAACGGCTATAAAAATATCGAGCCATTTTTTATTCAAAGCGTTAGGAAAATATCTCGCCAATCAAATTCTGCCACGTGTCCGCCTACATCAATAAACTGATTATTCGGTTCAATATAATGAATATGAAATTGTAGAGTTTTTATTTTGACCAAATATTACTATCAGCTGACTAATGAAGTAACTCACTGTTCTTTTTTTTTTTTTTTTGAGAACACTCACTGTTCTTTTTTAAAAACTTATATTTTACTTTTTTGGTTTAATTATTTTTTTCCACTTAGTATATATCTTTTTTATATTGTTATTCATTTTTATATAAGAGAAAATAGGAGATCCATTTATATTGTAACAAATGATATACACCCTCCTCATCATATTGATAATTTAAAAAATAAAATTATGACTTAATGGATTGATGATTTTCTATTAGACGTAAAACTTTTTTACATCCACAGTGTAAAAAAATTAATCACTTTATAAAATATGTAATAGTTAGTTTTTGTCTTTATTATTTTGTTCTAATTAATATAAAATTTATCATATTGAAATTGATTTATGTATAAAATAAATAATTTTTCATCTTTAAAATGAAAATAAAAAATAAATAAAATGTTTATATAAAATAATTAGTGTAAATTAAATTAAAATTTAAAATATGATTTTAGAATTAATTGAAGGTTGCTCAACCAAGTAAAAAGTGTCGAATATGAGTCAATTTAATCTTTTTCAATATTGAAAATTGATGCGGCTTATTGTGATCATCAAGGCTCCGGACTAGTAAAAAACATAATAAGAACTAATATTCTCTTCGTCTCATAATAAGTGTCTTATTTGAGTTCTACGAAATTCTTAAGAAAATAATTGGATGTGTTGATTTTAATGATAAAATTAATATTATTTATATAAAATACTCTTATTTATTATAGTTAGTGGAGTTGTTGAAAAACGTCAAAGTTAATAAATAGGGATATAGTAATAGAAAAAACTAATAAATATTGTATTGGTATTCTAAAAAGATGTTTATTTTAAGACATAAAAAAAGTGTAAATGAGACACTTATTATGAGACGTAGGACGTAATTGAATTTAAAGGTCATGTTTCATGTTAATATAATTTTTGACTGAAGAGGGCAAAGAGTGTGAAACTAAGGAGTCAGGAAATTTGCACACATAAAAATAAAGTCAACATAACATGCTAAGAAACAAAAGACAACAAGGCGAAAGTGGAGCACCATGTACCTGTTTACACGGGTTTCTGAAAAATAATCTTTAGCCTCTTATTAAAGTTAATTTATAGGATCGACTACAAAATCTTAGAACATAGTGCTAAGTTTCAAATGATTTTGGTGTTTGGATTGGATATAAAACTGGGTAAAGGTTGAGAAATGCAGATAAATCAAAAGTAAAGAAAATTGGAAAAGTAGAATGCAATACTAAAAATTGAAAGGTAAATTGCTTTGAAATTAAATTGAAACGCGTGCATACATTTTCAAAAGCCATTCGTTTCTCTGTGACGCGGATACTTTGAGTTTTCTCTTGCAATGTTACAAAATGTGACCTTTAAAATTGAATGTAAATTTGGCTTATATAGACATTTAAAAAATAAGTGTTACTTAACGTTCGACTACTCACAGCTTGCCACATATCAATTCCATGTAAAATTGCTCTTTGACAACTTCTCCCATGTTTTTTACAACCGTTTACAGAAATTACCCGCGTTAACCGCTTGCCTCTTCGACTTTGTCTCACACCAATTGAATGCATAATTTGGCTAAGTCCTTGAGTATTTTCTCCTTAGATTTCAACTAGCTCGACTGTGGATTTTCCCAATCAATGCATTTCGACATTGTTGTACCCAAAATTTTCCCTCTCATTTATCAAGTATTTTCTCACAAGATCTCCTTTAGTTCAAGACTCCACAAGGGTTTATCAGCTCAAGACACCTCCTTAAGCACTGATAACAGAAATTAGGGTTTGAGATTGCACAAGGATAATTGAAATTTTAATGCCTAATATGACTTTCATGGATCATTAGGACCCTCAAGATTTCTCATGTCAAGTTTCAATTCTTGGATCACATTTTTGCTCAGTCAATTGATCAGTTGACCTAAAAATCAGTTGTATTGGGGAAAGAGTCAACTGTGGTCAATTTACAGTCAAACTTCATTATTTTTTATCCATATCAACATTGTGAACTCCTATATGTCATTTGATCAAGTTTGGACCATAATTCCTCAAGAAATTTGATCAGGTCATCAAAAGGGCAAAATGGTCAAAATTAGGGTTTTGACTGAGAAAGGGCAATTTCCGATTTTTGACCTAGAAAATAGTTGTTTGGTTGGAGACATGATCTCAAGGATTAAATTGCATCATTTTGACCTAATGGCATGACTCAAAACTTCCCTCGAGATCAATTGATTCATAATTGGTTTTCAGTCAATTGATCAAAAGTCAACTATTATAGTGAAAAGTCAAACTTTGACTTTTTGGTCAAAATCAAATGTCAAAGATCACAATTTCTCAAAACATGCAAAAATATGAATCTTGTTCATCAAGAAATCAAAAAGTCAAGATTTCATTTTGAAAAGTCAAAGTTTCCAAACTTAGAAATTTTTCTATGTGTTGAAAACTTCATATTTTTTCACAACTTTGAGCCAATTTTTCACCATGATGCAAGATGATTCAAAGGAAACTTACAATATGAAAGTTGTAGATCTCAATTAGATCTAAAACATTGCTTTAAACAACTTATCCTAGAAATGCATGGATTTCAAGTTATGATTTTGTGAGTATATGTTCATGAAACTTGGAAACTTAGTGAAATTTTGCCCTAGTTTAGGCAGGATTTTGACCTAACCTCATGTCAATTTTTCACACAGTTCCAAGGGGAATTTTCAAAATTGATTCAAATAGGGGTTGTATAGCACATTACAAGATTTCTAAAATGTCCAAGAACTCCTTGAGATCATTTTTGAGCAAGGAGAATCGAAGGCCAGAAGTTAGGGTTTCAAGTTGTTTTACAAGGCAGAATTTCATGATGAACAAGAATGTAAATCCATGCTAGGCTTCACAATATTTGCTTTCCAGGCCTCAAACTTGTTTCGCACTCCATAATTAAATGTTTTCACACCTGTTATAGGCTTTAATCTAAGCATTCAATGCATTGCCCATGCTTAATGCCATTTTGGGAAGAAAGTGCACATTGCCATTTTGGAAAAGTAGCTTTTATGTATAAAATCAGTTCTTGAGCTTTGCACTTGTTTACTTCTGATCACACACAAACCAAAAGTCATAAGAAACTTATCTAAATCCTTAAAACAACTCAGTCCATGCTTGTACTTTGTCTTGAAACCATATTTCCACTTTTCTTCAAAATCAAGTAAGAGAGTCATAACTCTACATCTTGCACTTCTGACCCTCTCAAGTGATAAAACATTTCCCTTACTTATGCACAAGTTGTTTGCATCAAAACACACGAATACACAAGCTCCAAAACTTCCCCAAACTCAGAAGTGCATCACAAGCCACCATTATTGCATATTCTGACCAAGAACTTCAAACTTCCATTTCACTCGTGCGTTTCTTGGCCTTTTTCTTCCAAAAGCTTTCAAACAGCATACATAAGCCATGTGTATCCTTGTTACACGACTGTAACACCATCTTTATCCATTTCCAAGTTCAAAAACAGAGCATCACAGTTGGACTTCTCCAGACCATTCCAGCCACCTTCAGCTTAAGCCAGCCATTGCATTAGCTTCCTAGAGGTCCAAGGAAGCTAACCTGATCATCACCATCACTTGAAACAAGCTCAAAATCATTTCACGATTTCCAGTTTTTAGGTATTTTTCTTGAACTTCTATCTCATTATTTAGGCATTGTTAGGCTTGCATTTGTGAAGATAGAATGTAGATATCATTGCCCTGAAACTATACATGTCCATAGATTTCATTTATGTTGCTTGAGCATGGAGAATTTTGAGTTTAAACTTGCTGAAACATTTAGGTCAGAATTTGGTACTTTCATAAATTCATCCTTATCTTTGAATGTTAGCTTAAATTAGTTACATGGTTGGATTTGTGGTGAAAAAATGCACAAGTTTCATGTTTACACTTTTGAAAATGGTTGAAGAATGAGCAAGTTACAGATCCTTTGGCTGGAGGCTGAAGATGAAGTACAGTCAGGGAAAATTTTATGTTATGTATTTATTTTTGTGCCATTGTTAACGAATGTATAGTCACCCCAGTGGTAAGGCAGTGCGCTGGTAACCAAGAGGGCGTGGGTTCAACACCTAGCGCATTACCTTTTTTTCTTCCATTTTTCACATTTTCATACATTTTTTATCACAAACACACACGCCTGGGCCTCAATACAGTGGGCCTTGATATTTTGCTGGCTTCTAACCCCTGGCCTTGCTTCAGCACCCCCCTGGTCATTTATTTCTTTATTTTATTTCATTTTTATCTTTTAGTTTATTTCACTTTCATATTTTCATTTTATTATTTTTATTATTAATATTATTATTATTATTATTATTATTATTTAAAAATCCAAAAATATTTATTTTATTATTTTTACACTCATTTATATTATATTTCTCTTTATAAAAATTAAAAAGAACAAAAACAATTTTCTTAGCAAATTAATTTCTCTTTTTTTTACGAATTAATATTTAGGCTTAGGATTAATGACTACATTATTTTATTTTATTAATTAAAATTAATTTAGAATTTAGGTATTTTAATTAATTAATTATCCTATTATTTTTATTATTCAAACCATTTTCATGAAAAACCCTAAAAAATCATTTTTAACTTATTATTCTTTGTTAATTAATTTAGGTTTTAATTTTAGTTAATTTC